GTTCATAAACACCAGCGGAGTCTCTAAACCCGTGTTGTACAGCTTGTAACATGGCTGGGTAATGATGGAAATACTTGCTGTGATGTGCCACAGTATCCAGTCAGGAGTTCCAGCGGATGATGACCGGTGAAGGTGTGCCGATTGGGTTCTCCACCCCCTCCTGAGTCAGATACTCAATGTGGACACGCTTCTTTCTCCCCGAAAGACGAAATATACTTTTCATTTTTGCAACGAACTCGTCGACTTCCGGAGAGAATTTGCAAATGGTCTTTCCAATCAAGTTGATGCAAAGGGTAATACATCTGATATGAACTGAATCTTCACAAACAAGCTTAATGGCATCTCGGTAACCTGCTGTCATATATCCAGCGCCATCGGATACGAAGGCCGTCACACGATTGAACTCTATACCCACCATTGTCGAGCTGTGCAGAATGGCTTCTCCAAATGTAGCAGAACTGACTCCGTATTGACCGTGTCGATGAGGCATGCTAGGGAGACGGTCCTTGTTGGACTTCAGTGGTGCGCTTAAGAGGACGTGCAGATCCATCTTACCGCGATCATCAGTGGTTTCGTCTGTTATAACGTTGACAAAGGTATATTTCTCGTAGAGTTGTGGAATTTTCAGATGTAGCGCTTCAGATCCAGCAATGTTTCCACCATTTCGTACGTGTCTATTAGGAAATTTCCTCAACTGGGGTACGTCAATCATATCTAGAGGAATATTCACAGATACCATGGCAAACAGAATGTCAGATACCCCTGTGGGCTTCCTAGGCAGCATTCGCAACGGCGATAGAACTATCGTTGAGTGTGTGTCGAGCATTCTTCGGAGCTGGTTCCCCCATGGCAACAAGTTCAGCTGCTTGCTCCTCCTTGTAAGCTTTCTTCTGAAGATGCTTTTGGCTACGAAGGTGGGCAACCACGGTTGATTTTCGAGATGGATCCACAGTCAGGCCACACGATAAACAAAGCAGTAGTTTTTAGCAGTGTTACCGACGTAGTAATCTCTAGGAAACGTATTCAATTTGTTCAGGGCACGCTGTTTCGTTTTCTGATACGACATCCGCGAAATATAAAACCTGTGGTTTATTGTAAGCAACAGATTCACTTGGTTCTCGATTAATAGGTCAAATGAAAACGAAGCCGAGACTGAACTGCGGTACTGTTCAAAGGAAGATGAAAATTCAGTAATGACAAACCTCAGTACTGACAATAGTATCTGCATAGAGTACTCAAAAAGGGTACAGATCACCGTTCTCGCAACTAAACTGACAGATGACTTCAGTCACTCAGCTAATTAACACAGTCGCTTATATTGCGCCCCCGAGTCCTATGCAACGAGGTGGCCGCTGTGTAACGCCTAAGAGGTGACAGCGCATCAAATTCACGGATGATCGTAACGGGGGACGGTGTGCCGGCCAGGTATGCGCAAAAGGTGTGACCGAAGATGTCGAACAGATTTGATGAAAATGTAAGCAAAGGGTGTTTGTATCATGGACAATAGAATGAGTGCACAGCGTGGGCAGACAGATGGGACATGGTTGCTTAATGGATGATGCATGGGTGACACATGGGTCTGGGGACAAGGGGACTTTGATGGTGTACAGATGGCGGTGATGATACTCCAGAGGAATGTTCCAATAACCAGGTGTCTGCTTTGGTATTTCCGAATACAAATATATTGAGTACAACAAAAATGAATTTTTCATTTTCTTCCAAAATTCCGAGAATTGTTCAGTTTCTGCGTTTCGTGAAATATTTGGGTCTTGAATAATGATTTAACCACGCTGGGTACATGTAGGGAGAGCTAATAGAATACCCAAACGCACACGCTTATCTGTGTGCGTGTATGCACAGTGTCTATACGAGCGTTGATGGCGTGTCTGAACGTAACGGTTGAATACACAACAAGATGAATCCCAACGGCACCGCTCCAAATCCACCGTCATCACTAGGCCATAGGATACAGGTGGCACAAACCGCCTCTCGGTAGGTCTGACCGCACGTTTCCCAGCATACCGACTAAGGTACACGTCTAAACTCCGACCAAGTTCGGATGTCCAAGTCTTTGATGGAGATGCCCACTTCCGTGACAGGTGACATGCTCAGCCATACCCAGACCACGAGCATATTCAGAGCCTACATGACTGCACACTGGGCTTCAATAAGCACGGTCCGAATGGTGATAAGTTTCGAATGTTCCCGGTTAATCGGTCGCATCCCCCGGCAACCAACACATTATATATTCCTGTATTAGTGAGTAGTAGGGGCATTATTGGGATTTGTGAAGATTCGTCGCAGCTAGACAGCCTCACACATCCAGGAAAGTGCTATACGGTCGTCTCGTCCGACTGGGACTCGTCAGTAGCGCGCACCTGCCGAATTCGAACTCGCGACCTTACTCTTACGAGCCAGTGAGTTATGCCACTGAGCCATGGATGACGTCAGCGAACCGCCATGACTGATATAGTGCGGTTCATCCTCCAATGTCACGCATGTTATGAACGCGCAGAAAACAGGGCTGGCCCACAGAGCAACGACATCCCTTGTGCCCAGCCTATCGACGTCAATCACATGGTCCTGCAGCACATGCGGTCATGTGTGCCTCAGCCAAACAGGTGTCGTAAGTCACCAACGTGGCTACGGGGGGCCAATAAGGAAGAAGCAACGAGTAAAATGCATAGATAGGTGTCAGCGCTTGGCAACTACGCTTTTTCCGATGCTATTTATTAACCTAGATCAATGATGCGGTTAGATGTAGTACCTGCGCTATATCCCCGACACAGCTTGTCTGTATAAGTGCCTATGTGTTTATTTTCTTGCATTTTAGATGTCTGCTTATTGAGCTCACCGGGCTGGTTGCGCTTGACGTGAATGTTGGCAAGGTGCCTACCTGTCGAAAACCATCCACCTCGGTTATTGGCTCCAGGAGACTATAGATCGTTGCTGGAGCAGCGAGGTGAACCGTCTTCAGGACGGTGCTAGGCTTAGTGGTTCCATCCATTGTGGAACGCGCTATGGCCAAACCACCGCCTATTGTACATCTGGTATGAATGTGGCCCCTGAGCAAATAACAGAGTGACAGGCATGTTGAAAAAGTGCGGACCGGCTCCGAAGCAATCGCGCTTCCCATCCACATGCCTCATGGTCACATTCCTACGAGTTCACACTGGATATGGAATGTGTGGACGGAGCTGTGGGTGTTGTCCTTCCGTAGGCACAGGCGTCCTGTGACTGTTCGCAATCTCAGTGACATGTAACATCGGAAAGCAGTGCCACCAAGCAGATAGATGTTACGGGAACGAGCGCGCCAGGAAAGTGTCACTTAAATTAGCTATGTGGTTTTGGTACGCATTGCAACGGTCACTCTAGTAGATGATTTACACGAGTTGCTAGTGAAATTTTGGGAGCAGGAGACTGTCCCGACAGACTGCAGCCGCACCATCATTGTCCTAATTTTCAAGCGAGGTTAATGTTCAGAATGCGGCAATCATAGAGGGATCAGTCTGATCTCAATTGCCTCTAAATTGTTTGTGTCTGTCGTTCTTCACAGACCGACTGGCACTCGCGAAAGCCAGATTCGTGAAGAGAAAGCCGGGTTTCGTCGAGGTCGGGGCTGCATCGACCACACCTTCACCTTGCGTCAATTGTTGGAGCACCGCCACGTTTACTGGAGACCCACCGTTGTCGTGTTTATTGACATAAAAGGTGCCTTCGACTCAGTCGATCGATGTACCCTTTGGGGCTGTCTGCTGAGGAAAGGTGTGCCCGATAAATACGTGAACATTATCAAAGCGCTGTACGCGCACAGTTCGGGCAGAGTGAGGGTTTATGGCAAACTCTCGTCGCCCTTCAGCATCCCAAGCAGTGTGAGACAAGGCTGTTCGCTGCACTTTTCCTCTTTAATTTAGCAGTTGACGAAGTCATGGAAACAGCATTCGCTGAACACAACCTAGAAGGTGTGGAGCTACTTCTTGGTGAGCGACTTCTTGACTTGAAGTACTCGGATGATAATGTCCTAATCTGTGACAGCTCCCAAACATGTCAAGCAGTACTGGACCGATCAGCACTGACTGTCAGTCGTTTTAGGTTATGCTTTGCTCCATCGAAATGGAATGTCCTTCCTTAAGATTGGCAGGGACACACCCTTGTGTTGAGGTTCTGTGATGATCAGCTAGAAGTCGTTCAGGAATCCAAGTACTTGGGATCGAAGACGAGGTTACGAACCGTATAGCAAAAGCTCGAGGTTTATTTGCCAATCTCCGCTACCTGTGGCGCAGACGTGATATCACTCTCGCCCTGAAGGGCAGAGTTTATAACACAACCGTCCGTTCAACTCCCTTATACGGTTGTGAAACCTGGCCCATCAGGTCGACTGACATAAAGACGCTCGTCACGTTCGATCATCGCTGCCTTCGCAGCTTAGCTCGGGTCTGGTGGGAGCACAGCGTGAGCAATGAGCGTGTTCGGCTTCGCGTATTTGGTGCAGAAGAGCGAGCGGACCGTTCAGCATTATTATATCACGCACCAAGCTCCGATGGTTGGGCCACGTGTTGCGCATGCCAACACACCGACTCCCACGAGGTGCATTGTTTGCACGCTGGGGGTACGGTTGGAGGAGGATGAGGGGAGGTCAAGCGATGACTTAATCGGGAGAAATGAAAAGCCTCACTTAGAATCTGGCGTCGTTGGTGCATCCCGACTGCGTGGCTGGGGTCCTAAGGACGATGAACACGTTTGGTTGGACACATATGCTGATATGGCGAAGGGCCGGCCCCAATGGCGTTGCTTTGTCCAGCCCCTCTCCTGCATGTTCAACTCCAATTCCGATCTCATACAAAACGCATAATATAATGTGTAACATCATATTACTTGCCTGGAATCATTTTTGCAGTGTAATTGTTTAGTCTGTTATCCATTTGCATTGCGACACATCCGCTAAGGTGTACTGATGATGATGTAAAGGCCGCAATTGTGATGGTCAGTAAACGGATTGGGTCTCAATTTTATTTAGGCGGGCGGCATAAGAAAATTATAAGGAGGTAGATTAGCGTGTTTCACTAATCGGAGCTATTTAGGGAACATAAGCAAGTAGAGAAAGCAAGCGAGGCAATGCCACTTCTCCATACTTAGTTTAACCATCAAAAAATTGCAGCCTAGTTGCCTAAATGAACACGACAAATGCTAGGGCGAAAGTAGATACTTGACTCATATTTAAAGAAAAACAAAGCAAGAGTAGAAATGTTTGCATAAAGTTTTAAATATCACGTTAGGAGACGCCAAGATGTGGACACAAGTGGATCTGAAATGGTGCACATATGCCATCTGAGCAAAGTAGTACAAGCAGAGTTAAACAATGCGCCACATCCAGAAATGGCAAGGAACCGCAAGTTTGGTAGTCGCAAGGGAAATGTTTTAACGGTGATCAATAATCTGGACCACGAGAAACCACTTCTTTGCAGGTGGGTCTGAGTAGGATTGTGTGCTCCCACTGAGCAGTAAATGAGCCGCGTTGGTCACAAAGAGGTGGATAAGGGTCAACGATACCAACATCACATAGATTGCGTAATGCCATGAGGTACCTTGTTTCCCCGAGACGATCAAGCCAACGCGGACAGAAGGCCAGGGTCCCGAAATTACGATCAATGACGCTGAGCAGCTGTTTGCTGCGCGTAAGCCTGTGCGAAAAGAGGAGGCAGACAGACGGTGCTAGGGTCAGTGAATCACATTTTAGATGCTTCGAAAATGGGATCAAAAAAGAACGAACGTGCATCAACGTGTTTATGTGGGTGAACCGGTAAGGTACCAAAAAGGCTAATAATAACCACCTACGAATAATGTAAGAAATATTGGTAGAATATACGTGGAAATAACAATCAACGAACCGTAAGGGAACATGGCCAACATTGAAATTCTTCATGTAATGTGAGACTTCGTCACCGTCGGTCACATAACCACGTCCCGTGGAGCCAAATGTTTCGATTGCGTAGTATTCATTCTCCTGAATGACAGGGAAATACGAAAAGAGTGAATTGGATTGTTGGCTTAATGAGGGACAGAGTACAGCAACAAAAATAAAAGAGCACCGTGAGGATGCGCGAAGCAGTGCAGAGATCGAATCAAAGCGGGAGCGTGATAAAGAGTACAGGATGAAGGCACCGACGCAGATCAGTAAGTTATGCGGGAAGACCATGCGACAAACGACTTGATTCACCTGGGTACAGAATCCCTGCTCAGTGTATCCGAAACAGATCGAATTGTGAATTCACACACAAAGCTCGTTAGATAAGCACTTGACGTGTCAACAAGCTGGCACTAAGGCCAGGCGCCATATGCGCGAGAACAAGCCGGACAGAAAGAAGAAATGGTGAAAAAAACGTGAATAAGGCCCGAGAGAAGGAGCAACTAGGAAGCCTATACTAATAAGCTCAATGTGAGCTTTAGAAATGAGCCACAGATTTGAAAATATAAGTATCTTACAAGTCATACACCGAAGGCAAGCGCAAGGGCACCCTTATTGTTCTTAACGTCGCATCTTTATTCCAATCGCAATCACAGCTAAAAGAATCGTCATGAAGTAACCGGTCAAAACACCGTACATGGGCAAGGATGCGCTAACGTCGGAATAGTGACGCATGAAGACAAAGGAACCGCAGGTTCAGACACTTGGTATATGTGTGCCTGGTCGAAAAGCCAATCGTTCGAAGTTACCATCTGAGGGATTAGGACTGAACACCCCTAAGTCTGAATCCCCTCCAGATTTGCAACGGTGCACTCTGTGCCTATCACATGGCAAGGCAGGCTTCCGTATTCCTGCCAGCATTTGGACTGGGCTGTGCTCCGCCATGTCTGGTAGGTATAGTGACATACCAGAGCGATATGACCTTATCGAGTTGTTTACGGCCCGGGAAAAGGATCTGAACCGCTCAGCACCGTCATTTCACGCACCAGGCCCCGATGGCTCGGCCACGTGTTACGCATGCCAGCCCACCGACTCCCGCGACGTGCGTTGTTCGCTCACCAGGGATGTGGGTGGAAGAAGAGGAGAGGTGGCCAAGCGATGACTTGGTCGAGAGGAATGGAGTCCATCACTTCGGAGCTAGTCTCGGTTGGGGCTTCACGGCTCCCTGGTTGGGGTCCAAAAGACGGTGAACATGTTTGGCTGGATACACTTGCTGACATGGCAAGGAGCCGACCTCAGTGGCGTTCCTGCTGTGAGTTTCTTTGTCCCTCCCTATCCCTTTTAGCCTCACCCTCCATCTACGACCTCATTTCCTAGGGTAAAACATAATAATAACAAATCTTTTTCTTCTTTTTGCCTAGTAGCTGGCTGGAAGCTTACCGGAGCGATGCCTATCCGTTGCTGGTAGCTCAGCTGGCATGCAACTGTTGTATCTATTTGTCCTTTGTGTATTGTATTATATGTATGTATGTATTTTCTTCATGTATTGCGGCACAATAGCGGAGGTGTTTTCCCACCTCTAGCTGATGTGTATAATGATGATGATGATCGAGTGTGGCCCTGAGGAATATGACACAGGCCTGTCTGTTCACAGCCCGGTCTCCGCCGTGCCATGGCGGAACACATAGCCCAGTCCAAATGCTGGCAGGAATACGGAAGCCTGCCTTGCCACGTGATAGGCACAGAGTGCACCGTTGCAAATCTGGAGGGGATTCAAACTTAGGGGTGATCAGTCCTGATACCTCAGATGGTAGCTTCGAACGATTGGCTTTTCAACCAGGCACATATATACCAAGTGTCTGAACCTGCGGTTCCTCTCGTGCTAATCAGGATTAACATGGAAACGGCCAGTTTGTACTTCACTGTTTCATTGTACTCATGATTAGGGTAAAATTAACCTGTCTCACGTTCCCTATTATTGGGTGAACAATCCAACGCTTGATGAATTCTGCATCACAACGCAAGGGAGCGCCGACATCGAAGGATCAAAAAGCGATGTCGTTATGAATGCTTGGACACCACAAGCCAGATATCCCTGTGGTAAATTCTCTGACACATATTGCTGAAAACTCCGAATATCAAATTCAAAAGGATCGATAGGTCACGCTTTCACGGTCTGTATTCTTATTGAAAAATCGTGGGACTATCTTTCCCCTTTATGTGACCGGTATGTTATGGTTTAGGAGCACTCATCCCACATCAGAGTCTATACGCCGATGAACACGATGACAGTACGAAACCGCGTAGCCTATTCTCACATCACCATCTCGTTCACATTCTCCCCGTATTCCTTAGGCATAACCATGAAAACAAGTGTTGACATTGTGAACTAAGTTGCATAGAAGTAAGTGGTCAGTCTAAGCGCTATTGAATCAGCTTTGCTCGTTGAATTCATTCGGGCCCGACGCACCTTTGGCACCATTTTCCTATGCACCAATTTAGTCTAGAAATCGGTAATACCGGCGAATACGTATATTAACATAAACAACATAAAACGGTGATATATCCGTCAACGAAGAAGATGCTCAACGTGCCCGCCGGCGTTCTGCTTGCAGTGCAGAAATCACCTGAGTCAATTAGCTAGAACTTTTTGCAAAGTGTCCGTGTTGATGGCGTGACATTCTTGATAATATTAGCTTTCAGTTGTTCCAGTGAAGTAGGCGTTGTCTTGTAAACTCTTCATTTCAGATAACCCATAGGAAGAAATATAAGGGGCTCAAATCTGGTGTCCAGGCAGCCACTTCATTGGACCTCCGCGATCGACCCACCGATGATCTAACATCTCGTTAAGCTAATCCCGCACCGTTTGTGCATAATGTGCAGGTGTGACATCATGTTGCCACCAAACGGTGCTGGAAACCCCTCAGCCTGCAGCTGTGGAAGTACGCGGGTCTGCAGCATTTCTTGGTACGACGATGCTAGGAAAGGTGTGGCATTAGTATAATAAGACTAGCATACTGGAAAAGAAAAATGGTCCGACAATGTTGTGACCAGTTAGTCCAGCCCAAACCATTAGCTTGGGACGATGTTGCATACGGGTAGCTAGGCAGCGTCGTGGATTTGATGTCGCCAAAAGTGCTGTTTCTGTACTCCGTGCAAATGGAATATTACCTAATCGGTGAAAAGAATGGAGTGAATGTCCACGTGATTCAAGAACCATCTGCAAAATACAAGCCGCTTCTCCCGATCGCATGCGTTCAAGACTTACACTTGACGTGCACCATATGGACGAAATTTTCTTCCTTTCAAAATCTGGTGAACTGCGTAACGGGTGGTGTCACAATTTTGAGCGATTGTACGGATGTTGAGATCCGCCCTTTCGGTCGCTTCGCGAATAGCAGCACTAGCTGAACTCTCATCCGTTGTGGTGCGAGGCCGCCCCGTATTTTAACACGTACTGGCCGTTTACAGGCTGCATTCCTGAGGTTATGATGTTGTATCGTCGCGCTGTTTCAGCTGCGCTAAGCCCGCACTCTCCATATAATCGAAGAATAAGCACGCGCTGACCATCAGTGACTTGACGTAACTCAGGTTGCATAAAATTCACCGACGCGAGTGTATCCTCGCGTTCCATCGCTGAAACAGTGATCCAATTAAGAAAGGAAGCTTACCGTGTGTCTAAGCATATTTGACAAATCTAACCGATGTCGGAACAGGATTTTGGCCTGTCTGTATACAAAGAGTTGCCCAGCTTGCTTGTTGCACACTGTTGACCTAAGGGCTGTTGGTTATCAGGGCCCACATCTTGGGGCAGAGAGAAATTCCTGCCCGATATTAACAGGTGTGCGTTTTACGATTAAACACACGGCTCTCATTGGATAGCCTAACAACTATTGAAATTATCTGTCCTTCGTAGATACGCGCGTCGTGTTGAGGTTGACTGACATCATACGGCTTACGGTCCATATTTACCGGACGGGTGGTAGGGTACACGCTTGGCAATATTCGATAGATCAAGACAGCGCGAATAGAAAGGTGTATCGTAAATTGTTGGACGGAATCAAGAGGAACGGAAACTGGCAAACGGAGAAAACATGAAAACATAAAATGCTAACCTCCATTTTTGTCTGCTCGCCACCGCCGACGATTGGAACGGTTTTTCCTGCATGAATTTGATATGGACCCAATGAGTGCCCGTTGAGATTACGAATTGGCTTTACTAAAGAGAAACGAAGACAACGGACAACGGAACCAGGTTAATTGGGACAAACTAATGGAACACAGTTAAGAACAAAATATTTAAAGTAATAGAAGACAACAAAAGTAAAATGAGAAAAGGTACACGGAACCAATTAAATTTCGAAATTATGAGTAAGTGAACAGATGCGTCAACGTAAGTCGATTGTAGAGCGTGGTACACCACACAAAAGGGGTGTATACTGCATTTTCAGAGATAGTTCGTCGCAGCCAGCATTATCGCGGTAAAGTGGAAAGCGGGAGGCTGAGTCGAAAAGCATGACATGTTAAAATTCAAATCAGATTTATCGGCCCATTCAATTTGGTCGGTTGCAGAGGTTAAGAAAGCCATTCCACAAGATGACGGCTGACATGGGATTAAATAGCAAATAAAAGTCTGTGAGGTGTGGGATGATCCCGATAGCTTATAGCCGAAATTTTACATATTATCAGGCATGGCCTAGCTGCGATGCAGGACGTTTGTGCGTATACTTAAGTGTTCATGGCAGGAGACTTATCCTTTGACAAAGACCTGTGCTCGTTGAGTTTATGGTTGCACGTTAGAAGCGTTATCCCCGGTCGATTGCTTCTCCACCAAATTGAACAGCGGTTTAAGTCAGTGCGGCAGAACCGATAGTGCTTCGGCGTTTGAAGAATAGCTGTGGCTGAACCGTATGGAGAAAGACAGGGAGAAAACTGATTTAGGGAATCCGGGAAACAAAGGTGACTATGAGTGCGCACAGATACCGTTGGCGCGCCCTGCGTGGGGAAGATGAGTACTTCGTAACCAAAACCAGAAATGAGTATTTAATTCAAAAATTGTTCGACCTGGGAGTCAAGTTGTGGAAACAGTGCTGAGTATGCCAGGAGGCTTAAAAATGGTGCTGTTTACCATTTGTTCCACCATACATTAACGAATGTGTGTGAAAGTTAACATGGAGCGAAACCAGGCATGCTTCAACAATCACTTGAGTAATAAGCGGCAGCAAATTTGAAGTTTCACTGGGCTTCAGAAGAAGTGCATCAGTGACAGATCCCTATCACAATCACGCGCAAAGCTATGTCGATAATACATGTCAGTGTGAGAAGGAAGGATCAGTGCAAAAGATAGTTGCACCAGCTATTGGTGTTATTGGTGATAATGATGGTGGGTGTGGAATATTGTTTTGAGTTATCCAATGTGGGCATCATGCGGAATCACTTTTTAGGTCCAACACGAGGTCATGTGATAGTGCGCGAAACTCACGTTGTCAGATTTATGGACACAAAGTCAGCAAGATCTTTAAACAAATGATCAGGAAACGTCTCAGTAACAAGCGAAAGCACCGTGACCATCATAAATGCGACAGCAGTCGTTAGCCTGTCCACAAGGCAGAGAAAAGATGGTAGCGATCCGGTTGTACAGAAATGGACGCCATCGGATTTCCTACTTCCAATTTGGAGGACCAGGAGCCTGAGTTTATCTGATCTTTAACCATCAAGGAGCCGGCAGAAGTAGCTCTTAAGGGGCCCAGGGACACAGCCAAGTATACTTCAATGAGTGGAAGAGGTACGCAAACCGGTGAACCACGTTGGGGTCGTGTCTGCGACGGACAAACACCGACCACAATGAGGCAGCCGAAGTTCCCTTAATATTTTCCGCGAAACGTCGAAACTGCACCTACACAAATAACGCAGAGAGTTGTGACTGCGAGATACAAACTAGTTGCAATCATGGAGTAAGACGACGTTCGGATTTCTCCTTTGTTTTCAGGCTTTGGTTATCACATGCATGGCACATGTTACCAAAGCAAGTACCTTGGTGTGCTCCATTGGCTTGGGTGATAGTATAAGCAATGAAATCAGACAAAAAGGTGCAGACCAGAGCGACAGCAGCAGGCCGCCTCCCATATCTTTTACTTAAAGTCAAAAAGTGAGCAAGTCTCTGCTAACAGAACATCAAATAAAACCATGCGAAGAAAGTGGTGAAAGCCTCTGTGACAATAAGCCGAATTGTCTTGCATCGGATTTCGCCATATCTGGTCGCCCCATCTGATGGGAAAATGCGTGCAACCCTACAGTGACTGTTGAAAGAAGTAGTAGGCAGCAAACGTGAGAGGAACCATAGGATAATACGACCAATTACTGCGCTACCTTAGTCAAAATGTTTGTGCTATTCAATGGCCATCAAAACAGAATTTCGCATTAAAATGCACTAGAGTAAGCCTCCCTATCGGAATAAATTAAAGAAAATTTTATTCTCGTTAACCGCGAGGCATACCTTCACATACATGATAATAGTAACAGAACAAGGTGTGTTTAAAAATGTACGAAAACACATGTTTTCTATAACAGTGAATGTAATATATGGGTGTATTTACGCACATAATTGTGTATGTGGGCGAGGGTGCAGCTGAATGGAGAGACCTTGGATAACTTTGCAGTTGTCGCTGGTGTGAAGCAAGGCTGTGTCTAAACTCCTGCCCTGTTTAATATTTATCTTCATGCCGTGATATCCTGTGCGTTTCATGCGGCTTGTGCTTACGGTGTTCGTGTGGAGCACTGTATTGATGGTGGGTTGCAGAACATCCGTCGTTTCGGTGCGAGATCCCTTGTCTGTGAGATATCTAGCCGGATGTTGCTGTTTGCTGACGACTGCGTTGTTTGCACACAGCGCGGATGAGTTGCAACACATGACTAGTGCTCTGGCTTCGACAACGGCCACATTCGGGCTCACCAGCAACAAAAGCGAAACTGTCTGTCTCTTTCAGCCTTCACCGGAGGCGCAATCTGCATTGTTGCCGCAAATCAACATTGGTGAGGACGTATAGGAAAGCTCTTCACGTTTCCACTACCTTGGGAGTGTGATTTCGACTGACCAACAGCTACACAGTGAGCTTCGTATCCGCGTCTCGAAGTCAGCGGCAGCATTCGGGAAGACAGAGTACCGAGGGTGAAACAACCATCAGCTTACCGTCGGCACGAGGCTGATGGTGTACAAATCTATGGGGTTGTCCGTTCTTCTATACGGCAGCGAAACGTGGACGATGTATCGGGGAGATGTGAGATATCTCAAGTGGTTCCATCAACAGTGTCTGCGACGGATTCTGCGCATAGATTGGTGCGACAAAGTTGCCTACACGGGGGTGCTGCGCCGTAGTGGAACGTATGCAAGGGACTGCATACTTTTGCTGAGACCTCTGAGGTGGCTGGGTCACGTGAGCCGTATGATTCAACGCGGATACCGAAGCGGCTATTATATGGCCAGCTGAGTATTGGGAAGCGGCATGCAAAGAAACCGAAGCTTCGTTACCAGGACATGATCAAAGTGAACCTCTCACGTTCTGATTTTGATTGCAGGTCATGGGAATCGAAGGCGGTTGACCGGTGTGCATGGCGCAATCTGATCACGACGGCAGTTGCCGAGGTGCGGGAGAAATACCTCATGCAAGCATGGAAGAAGCGGCAAGCTCGGAAGCGACAGGCGCCGATGGGTTGTACTCCATCGACATCGAGCGCATGGTGCCGTAGCACATGCGGTCGTGAGTGCCTGAGTCAGGCAGGCCTAGTGAGCCATGAGCGAGGCCACTCGGGGCCACCAACGAAGTGAAGACGGGTCCTGCAGAGAACGCAGGCAGAACTGGCGCAGCGTTTGAAGGTACGCTGCATTCGATTTGCTAACCATGTGCTTGCACGCTGAGTCCCCTTATTTCAAGTACTGGGTTTGATATATTGTCCAAATGCTTTTTCATCTCATATTAATGTCTACCTATCTTCTACAGATATCCACATGCAATTTAAAGTAATTGTAGTCAACTTCTGTAACATTTTCCGGTTGGGACATTTTCTTTGAATATATCTTCTGACGTATTGAAAAATGTGCGGATTTTTGCAACCAATTTATTTCATACGCATCTGTATGCATTATTCGATTTATTTTAGTTGATAATGTCATCTCAAGTAATTGGTTGCTGTTTGATATCCCAGGTGTGGCTGCGCTTGGTGTGCATGTTGACAAGGTGCCTATCTGTCTATTACCCACTACCTCGTAGATACTCGCTCTAGCAGGCAGTTGGTAGTAGTTGGAAAAGACGAGGTGCACCGTCCTTGTGGCAGTGCTAGGATCAAACACTCGTTCCATGCACTCAGTGTGGAGCGGACTACGGTCCAGCCACCGCCTTGTGTGCGATTGATTCCCCAAATGCAGCGTGCTTGTGTTTGCCTGTGAAGCAGTGTGGGCCGGCTCCATTGACGAAACGTGGCTCCCATCCACATGCCTCCCCGTCTTATTCCTTCGGGTTTACACTGCATATGGGTGTGCGGTTGAAGCTGTGGGTGGTGCAACATAAGCCACCCATGGTCTCTCTGCAGGCACAGGCGTCTTGTGACTGGCCACAGTGACAAGCAAATCCGGAACCGGATGCCGCTAATCATGCATTCATTATGTTTCTGCTCCGCAGTTGAGCTAAACCAACTTACACTTAAATCTGGTCTTTCTAAGCTGGATAAATTTCATTCCAATTTATTTGGTTTGTTCTGCCTAGTTGAACAATCTTCTACTAACTGGCCACGTTGCTTACGTTCTTCGTTAACTTTATCGCGTTTGTGGCATTTTTTGTATAACCTGTGGACCTATTGTACTTATCGCGGATTCGCTGCGTTCCAAATTACATTATATGCTAATTTAGCGAAGAGTTATGTCGGCATAGCTGTATGCTTCAACAGATATATTTTATTTGATAATGTCATTTCAAGTGATCGGCTGTTGCTTGACATCCGGCGTGTGGTGTGTGGATGGAACTGTGGGTGGTGCAACGCAAGTCACCTCCCTCTGTAGGCGTAGGTGTCCTGTGGCTGGCCACAGAGACAGGCAAATCCGAAACCGGATACCGTCAACCATGTAGCTTGTGCTTGTAAGTTTGCTTGCTGCTACGTTTTTGTCTGTTTGATATAGTCAGGAAGGTGAGAGTAAACGATTGATGTCCATTAGTTGGATAACATTATCCAGATATCCACGGGGCAGTGACTTTAGTTTGTGGCCAGTCACATTCGGCACGTCGCAGTCTTGATAAGCCGACATTTGTGGCCTTTTATAGGGAGAACACTCGCCAGGCGAAAACCCACCACGTCCTGGAACACGGCCGCCGAACTAAGTGCTGAAACGGGCTAAACCAGAACCATACAGTTGGCAGCAAGAGGAGGTTGTTCGGCTAGCCAAATATTTCGTAAAGTGTATTCGATGGAGTCCAAAGAGCCCATGAATCTTATCAGGTAAATGAATCCACAGGAACAAAAAGAACAAAATCCCAAGAGTTGAAGCTAGAGATGAGAGAAGAAAGGTTTCGCGTACACCACCAGGAAGGCCTAATCCACTAAACTCATCGAACGGCGCGGACAATGGCGAAATGCTCGGGCGCTCCGTGCCTTAGCAGGACTCGCAAGACAGTGACAGAACTGCATTATAAAGTTGTACAGTTGAGCGACAAGCATCAGGCAGGATGGACAGACTTCGGTGAACGCACTTCAGTATAAAAGATTACGCGGTTACCTTGGTAAGTGTTGCCATCCAACTCAACTTCATACGATTCCATGGTTTCTTGAATGGCCTCACCCACATCACATAACCGGACGTCGATTCCAGCAGCCTAGGTAAAGGAAAACGGAAATGTCATGTGAAAGATTACATCTACAAATCCCGCAGATCGCAGTTGAAAAAGGCCATACATGCAATCTAATGGTCAATGCGGCAAACTAGATAAGCATACGCCGGTCAGAGAGCGCCTCGTGCGACAACGGCTCGGTCAAACCGGCATTTCGGGTAAGTCGGTTGAGAATCAGCAAACAAAGAGGACTAGGTCAGTGCATTATATGGCGGTAAAAGAAGGTTCGGTTCAGTTACGGTTTTTGCTCCAATCGAAGCACAGAAGTGTGGTGGATCCGTGTGATTTAACAAGTGTTACCAAAACGATAATACCAATGACAATCCAAGAGGCATAAATAAGTAGTTAAATCAACAAATAGAATAACCAAAGATCCGAAAAGAGCAGCAGAGACGCGGACGGAATGCGACTGTTGGTGATCGGAGTGTTCGCTGAGCTCGGCCGTTTTGCTGCAAATATTTCATCACCATCTGAGGTGACATTACCACCGTAGAATGGTTTAGCGGAGCGGCGAAATGCGCGCACTGATGATATCACTTCGGATGGTCGTGAAACATTTGCAGTAAAACTTCCAGAATCAGTGAACACTCCAACCACCAACTTAACCACCTGGGCTAACAATATCTGCTTCTATATCCTGGAATGCCACTGTCAAAACCAAACAGTCACACAAACGTCACGTTACTAATGTTTGGCATTAATGTTTGAGGAACATATCGCAGAAGAGTGCAAACTGAGAGGCAGCCTACTTTACCGTGAATGTAAGAGTGACTAAAGTGATTGCAATAAACCGGAATACCTACAGCGCTGGTTGGTAGTTGAGGTGTTGATTGATTTTCTGAGCTGAGCAATTCCATTGCACACAATTTGCTACCAACGAGCTGGCAGTTTCAGTGTGAAACAGTAAAAAGCTTGTTAACAGATACCGAGCATTGAAGAAATCCAAAGACCCGTCTCTGGGGCAGAAGAGTGAATGGGAGTTTGCCTGAAGGATCCCATCCAAACGGCCAGATATCACAGTCTGAACCACAAGACAAGGGACCATGCTCAAATTAAAATGTGACGACAAGGCGTCCAAGAAACTTCCCTGAGACCGATCACAACCAACTTCGGGAAAAACCCAAAAGAACGTGTATTTGTCATTCGTCTGCACCAGATGAAAAATAACCGCAAGGCAGTTTTGGAAGGCATTGCTAGACTTGAGACAAGTGATAGCCCATCGGTGAGAAAGAATCGCGTCGTCTCAACGCCTTAGACAAAGCATGGCGCTTGTACTATTTGCCGAGTGAACCGGTCATGCAACAAACAAGCTGGTCCAATGGCATAGTTGTGAGGGGCAGCACCGTCCACTTCTTGCTAATATCGTATGAGGCTACTGTGATTCAGTCTGTCATCATTATCCTTATTACACATATCAGCTATTGTGCCAAATTACAAGTAGATAAGATACATGAAAAAGCGAGATGCCAAACACTAGGTAATACAAAATAAAAACCAAATAATATTGCGTTAAGTTTCGTATTACGCATGAAGAGTGAGATCGTGGTAGGAGAAAGTAGCCAAGCAGAAAGGGAAGGGATGAAGAAACTCACAACACAAACACTATTTAGGTCGGAACTTCACTGTGTTTATCATCTTTCGGAATCCTACCTGGCAGTTTGGAGGCGCCGATCGACGTCAAGTTCCATTCCTCCATTCCGCTTAGTTAAATCATCGCTGGTTATCTCCACATCTTCCATTCCCGCCCTCGTCGAGCAGATAACGCACGTCGCGGGAGTCGGTGTGCTGGCACGCGAAACACGTGGCTAAGAGATTAAAACCTGATTTGTGATATAACGGTGCTGAGCGTTTCACTCGCTCTCCCTGCACCAAAATACGAGACACAACATAAGTTCATCCTCTCGGCTCCCTGGTCCGAAAGACGATGAACATGTTGGGCTAGATACACTGGTTGACATGGTTAGGAGCCGACCTCTGGTGCCTGTGTTGTGGGTTTCGTTATCCCTACCCCACCCGCTTAGTCTCCCTCTACAACCACGATCTCATTACCCAGACATACTATAGCATGTTTGCGGCAAAACAGCCGGCTTGCAACCCCCCGGAACGATGCTCATCCCTTACTGATGGTTCGGCTGGCGTGTCTTCATCGCAGCTCTTTCCTCGTCTTACCTTCTTATGTATTGCGGCACAATTGCTGAGATGTCTTTTTCACCTCTAGCTAACGTGTACACCGATGATGCTGAACACGATTATCGCTCACCCGGTGTTCCCAACAGAAATGACATAAACAGCAAAGACAGCGAGTATCGAGCGTAACTAGACTTCTCAGATCTGTCGATCTGATGCGCTAGGTTTCGCAATCGTACAGAAGCAATGAACGGACGGATGCGTCGTAACGTCTGCCCTTCAAGGCGAGAGTGGCGTCATGCCGTCAACATAGGTGGCAAAGTTGAGGAAAAGCGCTTCAAGTTTTGCCATACGCTTCGTGATTTATTCTTCTGTTCCACAGGCGCTAATATACCTGCCTATGGACTTGAATTTCTGTGAAACTTCTAGATGATGACGACCAAGGGTCAACGCAGGGGTGGGTCTTGGCCAATGGGGGAGAAGGATTTTGCATTTCGAGGGGACAAAGCATAACCTGAAAGGATTGACAACCAGCGCTAATTGGTTCAGTGCTATTTGGCACGTTTGTTAGCCGTCGTAGATGAGAGCAATGCCGTCGGTGCACTCCAAGTCAAGAAGTTAATCACTAGGAAGTAACTCCACACTTTTCAAATGCAGTCCACTGAACGCAGTTTGTATAACTGCATCAAAAAGGAGGTTGAAAAGGAAAGAGCACAGCGGGTAACCTTGTCTCAAACGGCTGGAGATGCTGAAGGAAGGTTGCAATTTAGCACAAGCTCACACTGCCCGAGGTACGCGTGTGCAGAGGTATACAGCACTAGTGTCTTGGAGAAGAATCGTCGCAGCAAGACTCAAGCAGACAGACAATACACATCCAGCAAAGCTCTAGACAACTGTTTCGTTCTATTGGGACTCGTCATTAGCGCGCGTCCGCGGAATCTGAACCCGCGACCTTACTCTTAGGAGTTAGTGATGTAGGCCACTGAGCGATGGGTGACGACAGCTGACCGCTATTACTGATTTCCAACTGCGAAGTAGTGCGCCTCATCCTCCAGTGTCATGCGGGCTATCAACGTGCAGAACACAGGACTGGCTCCCAGAGCTATGAATGCATTTGAAAGCCGCCAGCAACCGGATTATCATGTAAGCAGATAAGCTGCGACGGATCTTCTCAAAAACATTATAACATCCTACTACTCTCTAATAATCAGTAATCTGCTAGGCGTCTTACATGAAACATCGGTAGGCGGCGCCTTGCAAAGGTTGTTGTAGCTCAGGGCGTTAACCTTGTCCTCTGCACGTTCATAACGTCCACGACGGTGGGGAACAATCCACGCTAAATGACGGTTTTGGGTCAGTCATGGCAATCCGCCGCACACACCCATGGCTTAGTGACATAAGTCGTTGGGTTGTAAGAGGAAGCTCATGGGTTTGGATCCAAGAAATGCGCGCTACTGACGAGTACCAATGGGAAAAAAACCGTCTATCGCATTTCTTTAAGTCTGGTGGCTGTCTGGCTGTCAAAGAGTAGGGAAATTAATAACAATGCATCAGGCACACGCTTCCTGAGTAGGCAGTTCCAAAGGGTATATCGATTCACAAAATCAAGCACCTTTGATGTCGAGGAACACGGCTACGGTGGGTCGCTCTTGAATATAGCGCTATTCCGACAACTAATGAAGTGTGAAGATGTGGTCAAGATAGCCATGATTTCGAAAAAACCCGGTTTGTTGCTCGCGAATCTGGCTTTCACGAGTGCCAGTCAGTCTATGGAGAACGACGGAAGCAAGTAACTTAAAGTAACTTAAATCAGGACTACCTCTATGAGTGCCACATTCCGAACGTGAGTCTCCGTTGAAAATTGGGACGATAACGGTGCGGCTCCAGATTGTTGGAACAATCTGTTCTCACAGATTCACTGATAAATTGTACATATAAACCACAAGAGCTGGTACCCCGAATTTGAAGAGGATTGGATTAAGCCTATCTGCTCCGGCGGCATCATTCAAATTTAACAGCCTGATCTCACGTTCGACTTTTGAGCGTGATTGCAGAAAAGCGAATATTAACCAATAAAGGAGATTGTAACCCTGACTGACTAAATCAGTTCCCAAAGCGTTCCACCAAACGCTTCCAATGTTTTGACATTCTGTGGATTTACTGTCCACTCTTGTCGCATAGAGTCCCGATAACACTAGGTCTCCTGCTGCCCGTTTCCCGTGACAGACGGAATAATGTAAGGTTATCAAGAACAGCGGCTGTCTCCATCTCCGATTAGACCACTAGGTTTGGTGGTCTCTCTCCATGACAGCATGCAGTTTTACCCTGAGATCTTTGAGAGTCTCACTGTGTTCACTGCTAGCCAGAGCGCGTCGAAGAGCATCGAGTTCCAGAGACTGCGCAGAGATCCAATGTTCAGGTTGGCGATTTGATTTGCTATATGAAGGGTGACTTTGCTAATAGTGCAAGCAGTGACCTTCAACTGTTTTTAGTGAGCGAGTATCCACTCCACATGAAAGTGTACACTGATACACATTCAGGACATCTGGCTTCGCCTGTTGTCCGGTGTCCGTGCATTCATAGCGTCGTCGCAAGCGTTCACCGAAGCGAACCGGCAGATAGGCAAATAAAAGTGGGCGGTTTGAATTTGCTAGGTGCCAGATAGTTTTTATTTAAAACCCCTTCACTCTCTGCTCTGTGTGTTTCTTGGGAAACATGTTGTAACTACTGGTCCCGAAGTCGATATTCATAGATAAGCTGATAGCGTATGCTTACGAATTTGTACTTGCACACGTTGAACTGGAGCCGGTTGTCCGATGACCACGCATAAGCTGCGTCGATATAGCTCTGCAATGCCATGTAATCAAACGATGTCCTGATACATGCCAAATTTTGACGTGATCTGCAAATAGTAAGAAATTCGACTGCAGTACACTGGC